ATAATGACAATTGTCTTTGAAATATGGTTACAGTGTACTGCCAAATGTACTGACAAACATTTATGATTTATTTAGTGTCATTTCTATTTTATTTAATGTATTTTAATATCTTATACTAATATGTTGTATAATAATATGTAACACAGTACAGTTAAAATTATGATCGAGTACTTTAGATGTGCTTTATGTTAGCCAATGCATCAAAATAAGTGCACTTCTTTAAAACATTTTAAAGTTTAAAACATAATGATATAAAATGTATTTTAAAGTGTGTACTTCAGTGTGTTAAGAAACTGCCATGAAAGTGTACTCACTTCAAATACACTTAACGTGGTTTTATTTCATAATTTTGCCTTTTTTAAAAGGCAAGTACACAAGTGCACATTAAATACAATTTAACACAATTTACAAATAAGTAGACAGCCGAAAAGTGACAAAATCTCTCTAAAAATCAGTCAATAAACAAGCTAAGGAGACCGCTAATACCAGCTTATGTTGATTTAAGATTTATTTTTGTTCTTAGAAAGCTGCCTACACAGGCAGGTCAGGTTTTATAACAAGGCGATTATCTCACACCTCTTTCTAATACCACATAGTTTTTGCAACCAGTGTAAAAAGTGCTTGCTGACCTAAAATGACTGCAAGAGAGTATGATATAGAGAGTTGGGAAGGAGAGTTGAACTTGGCTGCAGTTCTGGTTAAAGGGCTTATTCCCTGCCATCTGCTATCTGTTTTCTTACAACTAATTCCATTCTTGAGCCAGTTTCTCTTCACCCACTGATAGCTGTACTTTTGTCCATATCTGTCTCAGGCTGTACCCTCTTTCAGTTCTTCTTTCCCTCCATTTCATTTGGACTTTGTTCCTATAAATCATCTCCCATGTTCTCCATCTTGGGCTAAATCAGAGCTTCAGCAGAGTAGATTACACTCAGCCACATAGATTTCAGTGAGGTATCAAAGAGAGTTAGATAATGAATGGATCTCTGACCCCTGATCAATACCATCTCAGCTCCACAGTCACATAATCACCTTATAGATGAATGAGACCAATCTGAGTTCTATCTGACGACTCTCAGACAGAGTATCTGTTGCTTTCCGAGGACGTCCCACAGGGCCCAGTATAGCCAACAGCCATTGATCACCTACATCGCTCCAGAGGGAAAGGAGAGGAGTGAGAACAAGGTCCCTGTGGAATCTCTTTGGTGAGCATGGATGCTGAGATTATGTGAAGGTTGTTCCAAAGAGAAGACATCAAGATTTCCCGCCTCATACATTTTACATTTTGGTGATAATCAAAGATAGCAAAGCATGTATCATTTGAAGATAAGACCAGCAACAGGACTAGTGAGGCAGAACAAGCCAAAATCAGGCAGGACAAGGCTTAACAGGGCAGGGCACAAGGGGTACATTCAACGACAAACTGGCACAGGACAGAAAAGACTCTTTTCTGCTCTTTTCTCACAGACAGGCATTCACCACTAGGGAATTGACTTATAAAAATACTGTGTGTGATTTAAATATAAAAGATACTTATTTTCTGGTACATAATAAAGCATGCTGCTAAAAGCAAAAAAAGTAAAAATGAGAATTAGCAGTTCTTGTAGATTCCAAAGCTCAATGATATGCCAGTTAGGAATTTTTCCAGAATTTTCCAACATGGTTTGAGGGTGTTGACTTTGTAGGAATCCTTTAACAAAGTAGTAGATGATACAAATGAAGGCTGTGATTTGTGATTTTCTGTGATTTGTCTGGCTGCAAGGACGCTAGAGTGATACTAAATTGTTTATTTTCCACACGCTCTCATCTTTCTCCCTTCTTTTCTGACTCTACAGGAAACAAAACCCTGTGATAAGAGAGAATCCATTCCAAATCCCGGCCAGTGGCTCAAATTGAAATAAAAAAGAGCACCATACTTTTGAATTACAACAGATTAATAGCCATTTATGTGAAATGTACTCTTAATAGCATCACTGTTAAATGATTAAGTAAATTAAATGGCACTATTAAATGATTTCTTCTGCTAAATACTAAAGAAGATATTTTGAAGAATGCTGGTAACAAAACAGCTGACTTCCATAAAAAAAAAAATTTCATACTATGGAAGTCACTGGCAACCGTCAACTGTTCACAGTGGGACTGTTTTTTTTTAAGCAAAAACTAATAAAGACAGAAGAAAAGCACACATGAGGCTTCTACACAGGACACAGACCCCTGTGATGCTCCTCAGAGTAAAATGAGCAGGTGCTTATAGCAGAAGGTCAAATAGCAGCAAGACCTGTGATGTACCTCATTTGTAAGTCACTTTGGATAAAAATATATGCTGAATGAATAAATGTAAATGTAAAAGTCTCTTGATGATGCTCTTGATGAAGTGCACATGGAAATGGACGAGCCGGTAGATGAGGTGAAGCCCACAGAATGGGAATCCAGCTGTGGAGGAACACACTGGAGTCTTATTTTAAGTCAGAATGTCTTCAGTATTAAAATATGTTTACGACAGAAATAAAATTTGACATCTCAACAAATTATGATTGCTGGCTTCATAGGAATTGGCAGATACACAGACAAACTTGTTTCTCTTCAAATCCAAATGGGTTAGAGTCTCCTCAGGGAAGAAATATTTTCATTATTGGCCAATAAAGTACAAAGAAAATTGTATTATACTCATATTGTATATATATATATATATATGTATATATAATTATATATTGTATCATACAATGTATTGTAATGTATTATATTGTGAGGCAGACAACAATACCCAGCCCTGATATACAGTAGGCTATATACTGCACTAGTTGTTCATTTCTTGCAAAAAGTACATTTATTAGTTTTACTTTGAAATGCACAGTAAATTCAGACCACACTCCCAAACTCTCCTCTATAATACCTGTCTAATCATTCAGATTCCTCCTTTATTATATAAGGACTTTTTCTATTTATCCATCTATAATAATGTACATTATCATGTTGTAATACCTTAATTCACTTGCTAGACTTAATCAAACAAATAATGTTACGTTTTAATTTGTTTTAATTTTCTTTTTGTAACAAAGTAGTATAGATTTATAATGTCAGCCATTTATTGGTTATGAGCCACAACATGGAAAAAAATCAGCATATCGATATCAGCTAGATTTTCAATATTGGTGCAATTTTGTGAAGACTGAACTAAGTTTGTAAGAGAAGCAGTAACAAACCATCAAATCCAAGATAATGGACAACCTTCTGGGTGGACATTAACGTAATTTTATATCTATAATAATATAAATAAGAGGTTTGAAAGCAGATAAATGACTGGTAATTGAGCTGTTGGTGGCACTATAGAGATTGACTGTAACCTAACTAACCAAATACCTTTGATGCTTGGCCTCATATACAGAAATTAAGCACTGAAGCAGCATAGGCAGCGTAGCTCTGGATGGAGGTAGCTCTCAATAACAGGCACAGTTAGACCAGGATGCATTACTGTACAAAATAATTTATTGTAAGCATTAAAATCTCTAAGCAGCTCTGCTCAAAACACAGAGGATATTATCTCTAATTTAGAAACAAAAGAGAGCTTTACGTCAAACACAACATGAAAGGAGAAAAATAAAAAGGCTGGAAATGTACGTTGGATCATTTTGATATTACACAGGCAACTTACAGCTTTATAGTATCCGACTAAAGGGTCTTGCCTGGGGATTTCATTAAATACCCAGCTAGTCGTTTGAAAAGTGAAAAAATTGTGAATTATGAGTAAATACTGTGCCCTTGTCACATTTTAGCAAATTTCTATACATCGGTTTTGCCATAATAACATTTATTATAGCTATTAGATTGGTCATCGGGCATAATTAAAACAAGATAAATTTACCTGAGAAGCAAAATTGCACAGACAGATGCTTAAAAAAATAAAGGAAACAATCTGAGTAAGAAAAACAAATAAAATTCAAGATATATCCTCTGAAAAGCAATATATTACACAACTTTGCTTCAAATGTAAATTTGTCTTGCTTAACTGATAACTATATATATATATATACTTACTGGAAAACAAGACAAACTTACAGAAACTTGCATATTATCCAAACACTACATCATTTTCAATACTGCACGTTTAGCCATTCATGTCCATGTAAAAAAAAAAAAAGGATAAAACTATGAAAACCTCTATAATTGGTCTCCATGACAACCATACATTTCAGAAGCTCACATTATCCAAGACTCATAAAGACAACACATCTCAGCACTGCGTTGACCTCCTTCCAGCGAATCAATGACTCATACATGAAAATATCGACACGCTGATTATTTTTTCCACTCAAAACAAACATACCATATTCAAGGATATGCCCTCCAAAACTGGAGAGCAAAGAGTAACACTATGAAAATGCAAATGATCCAAGACACCTTCAGGTTTAACCATCACCGCTCCAGTCAGGACCTGCAGAAAACCCTCCAAACGTTGGCTAGAAGATTCCCTCTTCTGATGCCCGTTGAGAGCCGTCAGTTGATCAAACAATAAACACCATCTGTACAAGAGATAAAATTCAGTCTGCTCCTCTTTATGGCTGTGGAGAGAGAAAAGGCTACATGAATACTTCTCTTTGTCCTCCTCGTCCTGTTCCAATCAAAACACTGATTGTCACGTCGTTGTGCTTAATCTAAATTGTGTTTATATATACCGAAGAGCAATCTCTTTGTACCGTCATCTGGTCTTCAAAGCAAATCCGATCTTCTTGGGACTCAGAAAAAGGGTCAAACTTCAGCAAACAGAATGACGGCAAGAAGGAAATGACTTTCATGCAAAGTACGAGGGGAAGTGGAATGTAAATCGTCTGTCGCTACCGACGTACGCCACCATGCAATTTCCAACGATGATTCCTTCAGTGTTTTTCAGCCATTCATTACTTCCTGGTCTGTGAGGGCCTGGTCATTTCAAAAACAGCAGGGAAATAAAAGCTCAATTTTGCTGATTCTCGTAGTCCAGTCTAGTTTTTTAGTTCTCACTTAAATCTCCCCACCTCACTGGCCATAAGTTTCCATGCTAATAGTGGGCTCCATGCTTAATGTTGCATTAACCGTCAGGAGCTTTCCGCAGCCACCGGTAAAACTGTTGTTGGAACAGGATGTGCCATTTTACATTAGTTTGAACGATCTCAACAGCTCGAGCAAACGCAGGTGCTGACTCTCCCCCGCTGGTGAGGATGAACTCTTTCAGCTGAGGAAAAGAAGGTAAAAAACAGAAATGATTAACATTATCATTAACATTGTCATTGTATTGTGTCTGATGTATCAGATGTAGAGAGTTTGTGTGTTTATGCGTGCAAGTGGCATCTTCATCAGTGAAACAGCATCAGAATATAGAATGCATTTACATGCAAATGCCTGACATGTTATTTAGCAAATAATGATGTTTATGATAATGAGGTGTGGGAATGCATTTGAAGTAAACAGAATTATCGGTGTTGATGTTTTTCTGGAAGGGAAGGACAGTTGGGTGTCTGTTAAAAAAAGAAGAAGAAAAAAACTCTGCTAGTCTCTAACATCAATTAAGGGCATAAAATCTCGACCAAAAAAATCTCCATTTACCAAGCAATGCATTATGAAAATGATTCTCAATTCCTGAGGTCATGAAGACTACGTGGATGAACATGCACTGGGATTCAGGATTCAAGCTGCTCTTTTGGTCCAATTTTGGCAATTTCAAAATTGCTGTTCATTCATAGAAACTTCCAAAAGAAGTAAAAGGATCATTCCAAACCACTGGTATTAAATGTAGCGCTGATCGTTCGTGAATCTGTGGATGAAGTGCTCTGGCAGCAGCTGATTGTCAATGACAGTATGCTAATGCTCTGTTTAAGAAAACACTGAGGGGGTTCGTATTATCTCTGTATGAATGATAAATTGTGGAAGGCGAAGTCAGCTGGATGAGAAAGTGCTGCGCTGCAGTGAGAAGCATCAGCAGTCTGTGTCCTCTGGGACTGAAGCTGAATAAGTGAATATACGTTCCATTTCCTGTAATAAGGTTAAGCAGTTACAATGAGGAAATAACCCAGCGGAACGGTCCAGAGTCTTCAGAGTTTATTTTTGCTAATTTTCTATCTCAATAATTTGCTGACCAGAGTTTGTTTGTAAGTATTAATGTTCCATGAAGATTGCTGTTTTAGTTTGATTAGAGTACCTCTAGCCTCAGGATGATGTAAAAGTTCAGCCTCACCTCATTCAACTCAGCCTCAGTGTTGAGAAACTCTGTCACGCCGCTGATTAATTTTGAGTTCATAAATAAGGCTTCGCCATACCTGCCAATGAGAGACATTGTTATTAAAAACACTGGAGCACCACAAGCAAACAAACACCAATAGATATTTCCCATAATGCTCTCTGGTCCTCCAAACACAAACAAGAAATAACATTCACAAATAAATATCTTATGAGCGTGCGAATGTGAAATTCATATCAGGGACTGAGAGGAAGGTTAAAACCACTGATAAACAGAGATGAATGAAGCCACATTCACCTGGAATTCAAGATGTCCCACTTCTCGCGGAAATATCTCCATGCTAAATGTCTTCCCAGCGGATTGCGGCCCACATGTATGATGACATCGATCACGTCCTGATCCGGCACCAGGTCAGAGGTGAGGGACAGATTCAGGAGCCTGTGGACAAGACAAATAAATGGGAGATAAACTATGAGTGAGGAATAATTGACAAGGGCCTCTGAATTTTTAAAAATGAATTGGTAATGTGGCCATGATGTAGACTTTAAAACTTTTTTTAAAAGATTTTATTCTGAAAAATTTATTTTTTATCACTTCACGAACACCATGAAAGTTGCAATCCTCTGGAATGATAAACGAACAAAGTGGGCGGAGCTTAGCAGAGGGTTAATTTTGAAAGAATGTGGTAAAGTGATAAATATCAGTAAAGTGATCAATAAACAATGAAGTACTTCATAACCTTACGGTTACAGAAAATAATCAAAACCATTTCAATAAACTGAAAATAAAGGATATACTTCATTAGTTGTGCTCTTATGCTTGGAAGAACTTGGTCTAAAATACAAAACTTGGCTTATTAATGGCTGCTATTTGACTAATATGGCTATTATAATGCACATTATCGTGTCTGTTCTAATTAAGCCTTTCTAATCAATTTTTCTAAGCTAGTTTTATGCTTCGGTAATTCAGAAATACAAAACACATTATTCTTCGCCGTTTTCAGCAAAGACAGCCACTGACAGGCCTGGCGAAACACAATTATTCAAATATATTTTAAGACTGTGAGTCGGCGTCTTCAAAAAGTAATTAACCTGAAAAGCCCAAATCAAATGCAGATAGACCCATTCGCTTCAAATTGATGCGAAATGTCAAGTAGATGAAAAAGGAAGAAATAGGAAATGAGATGTTTCACATAAAGACGCTGCCACGGTGCACAAGTTTCAATTTGCAAAAACATGTGGAGTAATTTCTTCATTGTTTTTTGGTCTCTTATTTCAGTTCAACCGCTTTTTCTGGGCTTTTTCACAAAAACCCTGGAGATTATTGCCACGGCGACAAAACGGACAGCAGCTTCACAGCTGGCAAACATGACAAGTGCAAACAAGTTTTCAGAACACTTTCTTTTGCGGCGCTCATTCTCATCACTTTTTTTTTTTTTTTTAATTAACACTTGGAAATTCTGATATTGGACTTGTGTAATTGAATTCTAGCAGGTATAATTGTGACATTGTCAGCATAGCATAACTTTTTTTTTTCCATGGCTGATAAAGCAACCGTAAAGATTAGCATGTTCAGATTAGCATACTAGCATATTACTTATACTTAAGTATACAGAACGTACACTGTGCACAGTATGTATATTTTCTATAAGCAAAGTATAGCTATTACATTTACCACAATGTGGTATACAACCAGAGCAGAGCACACAGCATGGAATACTGTATCCCACAATACAATGCACTTGAACTGAACTTCAATTTCCAGTGTGATGAATGAATAGGAAGTGATTACAGTAGTGATTTTTTTTTTTCTCCTTTTACTGAGATTTCAGTCTCTAAGGCTGCAGGAACATCTGTAGGTTAGCAGTCAGAGCGGAAGTGAGATCAGCTAAAACACACACACACACATTCCAGTAGTGGAGAGGAATTATTTTCTGCCCATTGGATCACAACATACATCATCAAAAGAAGTAAAAACACGGAGGAAGGAGATGCAATTCACTTCATGCCATAAAAATCAATACTACACACAGACTCCATACACTCCATCCTTCAGACACATGTTCAGATTAGCATACTAGCATATTACTTATACTTAAGTATACAGAACGTACACTGTGCACAGTATGTATATTTTCTATAAGCAAAGTATAGCTATTACATTTACCACAATGTGGTATACAACCAGAGCAGAGCACACAGCATGGAATACTGTATCCCACAATACAATGCACTTGAACTGAACTTCAATTTCCAGTGTGATGAATGAATAGGAAGTGATTACAGTAGTGATTTTTTTTTTCTCCTTTTACTGAGATTTCAGTCTCTAAGGCTGCAGGAACATCTGTAGGTTAGCAGTCAGAGCGGAAGTGAGATCAGCTAAAACACACACACACACATTCCAGTAGTGGAGAGGAATTATTTTCTGCCCATTGGATCACAACATACATCATCAAAAGAAGTAAAAACACGGAGGAAGGAGATGCAATTCACTTCATGCCATAAAAATCAATACTACACACAGACTCCATACACTCCATCCTTCAGACATTTACTAGATCACTCCAAACACAGGACAGTTTTCTCTGTGGTAGATTAAATATCACAAACACACACTCTCACACACACATGCTGCTCATCTGGGGGGGCTTTGCTTGTGCATGCTGTGTGAAATTTAAGTGTGGCTGAAATCAATGAACTGCTGCTAGAGGTCTTCTCCTCTCTTTTAAGTCCAACACTAGAGCAAAGGTGAACGCCTGAATGCTGCAAATATTTCAGATATCCTATGTGACACCAGAACAAATTTCAGGTATGAGAGATATTTTAAGCATATAAAGCAACACCAAATCCTCTCTAGACAGCAATGACTCATAAGGCGCTACCTGCACACTGAATAGTGATGCCAAACACCTTTATTTCATGGGAATTCATTAATAAAATGGATGCATAGAAGTGCAGAACTCCATATTAACAGTGTTAAAAACTCTCAGAGGACAGTCAACAGCTGCAGTTTTTTCTTTGAGCTGATATAAATTCAGTAACAGGTTCTTCACACATCGATGTGGTTATCACATCCCGCTAATGCTATGCATTGTAGCACTAGGTGGCAGTTTCTAATTAGCCCATGAGTGTTGCCAACTCCTGTGTTTTTCTAACAATGATTTGTCACTTTCAACACCACCACATCACTACCGCTGCTCTCACACTATTTTATGGTCTTGGAAAATGACTATCCACTCCAAACTACCAGGCCAAGTTGATCCAGCACAGGGGATCTCAACTCTGACCCTAGAGGTCTACTTTCCTGCAGTGGTTAGTTCCAACCATAATCAAAGACACCCTGAACAAGCTAAACAAGCTCTTCAAGATTACTATAAAGTTACAGATAGGAGAGTTTGATCAAGGTTAGACATACATTTTGTAGGACAATGGACCTTTCAGCTGTAGGACAGCTGAGAATCCCTGGTCTAGCAGCTCTAACCATGCTGACTTGGCTTTTAGTCCAGCTCATCAACCACTTAGACAAGATTGAACCAGCTAATGGCCTTTAATGATCTGCTTCAGTCACTTAGAAACCAAATAAAACCAACTACCATCATACAGTGACAAAGATTTTACCAATCGACATTCTCCCATGACCATAACAAGAACAAGACAGTGATATTATGGTCTTGGACTCAAGACTCGATGGTCCAAGGCCATATTTTATTGTCATGTCATGAACTTGTCAGGGGCCTTTGGTCTTTACTTAAATTCGACCCTCCTCTTAAGTTCAACAACAACAATAACTACAGCTAAAACAAAATTTTAAGCTTTAATATCAAACTTAAGCATATCCCTAACATCCAAACAGAACCCTATTACCTGACTGGTTGAAGGCAAAGCTGGTCCAGAAACACATACAGTAGTCATTGACAAGCCATCATCAGAAGCAGGATGGCCTTCAAAAAGTTTGTACTGTGGGGGAAAAATTAATTTTGTATTCATGGTTCAGCTGTATGGCTATCAGATGTTGTATCTAGGTGTATTGTGTGTGTGACATCGATCACGGAGCGCTTGTAACACTCATTGATTTTACCTTCACGGAAGGCAGTTACCACTATAGAAAAAATGAATAGGTTCCTTGTTGACTGTAATTTGATTAATAGTATCTTAACATGAAGATGAAGTTGCCTGAATATAGAGCACTGAAGTGTGTGCTTACTAAGTGCGGCGCTATTTATCTTCTTGCTCTAGTGAGACAAACCACATCCCTCTCAACAGGCTCACGCTGAAGCCATCCCACGGGAATCAGACTGTTCAGTGCTGAACACTCACTGCAGAGAGGGGTCATGTTGGGTCTCTTTATATGGGAATGTTTTTTTCTCTCAGTGCAACCAGAAAACAATGACCAAATGTAACCGAATAAATGGAGATGTCGAACCCGCAGTGAATCCTCAGAGAACTGCTTTAGAATATGTGTGGGCTCTGAGATCCTCGTCTGGACTGGACAGGGTGTAATCCGTCACCGTCCTCATCCTGCTATTGAGTTGGGAGAGGATTTAAGACACATTGGAGACTTGTGGGGAAAAGCTCCTATGGCAGCCATTGTCTTTATTGCCCCATCAGAGGAGTGAGTGCAGCTCTGCTGGTGTGAGTGACATGATGTGGAGGAAAGGACTGAATCGGATTGCTTCATGAGGTAAAGTAGACTACAAATTAACGAGTGAGTTATAGTCAGAGGAGTACAATACATGCTCCAGAGACCTCCAGACACCTGCTCTCAAATAAAATGGCAGAAAGCCCCCCAAAAAATCATGAAAACTGAATGAAGAGGCCGGTGGAACTGAGATTCCAAGCTAAAAAGAAGCTAAAACTTTCATCTGAGACCGACTGATAAACGTGCCACGCTACAGCAGCTTGTTATTTGAATTTCGTTGCTTTGTCATTTGTTAATGAGGTCGACTGACCTGTTGAGCAGGAAGATGTTGTCACTGCAGGTCAAGGCCTCCAAGAGAACCTTCTTCTCAGAGATGGCTGTAGAGGAGTGAAACTTCATCCAGATAAACTCCCACACATCCTCATCCATCAGAGAAACGCCTGTGCAGTACACAATGTCCCGCACGTTGGGTGGAATCCTGTGGGACAGAGGATTGACTGAAACATTTGGGTGAAGACACAATTCACAGCTAATTAATGCTAAATACTCCTCATATTTAAAGGTCCCATGAAATGCTTAGAAACACGCAGCGTTACTCTATGTGTTGATGTCATTTTAACTGAAACAGGAAGACAGGGCGGGACATATCAAGCAGCCCCGCCCCTTTTTAAAATA